TTACCTTAAAATCAAATCAACATCAACTCAATATCAAATTGACATTAACTTCACATTAATCACTAGATTGCCAGTACATTGACATTAATTCAACTTTCAATTGAAATTAACTTGGTTTCAACTTTTCATCAACTTAACATTACGTCAACATTAACGACAATAACTCATGTTAAATCGACACGAACTTTCCATAAACTTGACCATAACTTAACCTACCATAATTCAGCATAAGAATCATACATCATAATCTATAGACCCTGGTTACTGTGCGATTTGCGAATATTTCCACCCATGTGAGTTTTGCTTTCGAACTTTCTAACTGCTGTATGTTGTCATAGAGAACGAGTCACTTTCTCAATAACAAATCAATGTGTTTTGTGCTGTTTTCATAGGTGGTCGTAGGAAAACACGTATTCAAGAGTTCAAAAGCTTAACATGATTGATATGCTCTCCAAAATAGCAGGGTGCAAAAGCGAGAAATTATCAGTCTCACATGTTACTTTTCTCGTGGTTGAAAATAGAAGCTAGTATGTTGCATTTTCTCACTACGAAAAGGATTTCAGATAAGATCGAGGAATAAACTAAAAGTGATTCCCTGGTTCCTACCAAAATATTAGTGTTATTTAAATACCGAAACAGTACCAGTGGCGCCATCACCCAACGGATAAAAAGACTAAGAGATGGTCGTACACACCCTGGGGAAGAATTCTTCTTCGAGACGAAGGGAACATGCTAGGATCGTGTCACAGAGACCTGTTTTGTCACACCCTTAAGAGCTAATTCCATCGATTTATCATGTACACTTCTAGCTGAAATGATTACAGGGTGTGAGAAATTGAGATTCTTTTCAACTTTAGGAATTTCTTGTGTCGAAACTATTTATTATTGTCCAAAACGATTTTCATAAGTCGTGTGCAATTTGCCGATGACTGTTTTTTTGGTATATTCAACTGTTTTTCTGTTAACAATAAAAATCTACAGGAAATATCGTGAAAGACCGTTTTTCGGAAAAAAAATTGGACAATGAGAAATAGTCAAGAAGGGATTCAAAATATACGTGAAACCCATGTAGGTACTTGAAAAAAACCTCTGTTTGACTCATTCGAAGATTTACCTATTCATCAAAGAATTCTTATAATTATATAGGAGACTGAATTCAAAATCATAATCAACAATCATGATGGGGAGAAAATATCTGAGAACTTTTCATAGGTACCTATAGAATAGAATAGAATAGAATAGAATTTTATTCGCCACTGTGGTACATTATGTACATATGGTATGTCAATTTGAAGTAAAATATAAATAAACATATAAAAATCTAAATATATAAAAAATATCAGGATGAATTATATCACATAGTAGTAACTAATAGGTATACACATAATAAATGACAAACAGGACTATATATCTACAAGTAACATAATGGAATAGACAATACATATATTTGGGTCCTTTATTTTTTTTTTTTTTTTTTAATGTTCAATTCAGAGTATCGTCCAAGAATTCGTCTACACTATAATAGCATTTTCTTATTAGCAATTCTTTCACTCTTCTATTGAATATATTGTCAGAAGTGGATTGCTTGATGGATACAGGCAGTTTATTGTAAAGAATGATCACATTATATAATGGAGATCTCTCATATTTTGCACCTTTGTGATCCGGAATCCGCAATACATTTCCATGTCGCGTATTGTAAGTGTGCATACTAGAATTTTTCTCCAGCTTATGAAAATTAGTTCTGGCAAATCTAGTACATTTCAAAATATACACTGAGTACGCTGTCAATAAATTTTCACGTATGAATACTGATTTGCAACTCTCTAGGCGATTCATATTGAAAATTAGTCTGATGATTCGTTTTTGTGCTACAAAGACTCTGGAAAATTCTTTGGTAGAACCCCATGCCATTATATTGAGAGATATGTGGGAATATGCCATGGCAAAGTAAATATTCAGTAGACCTGATATATCTAAACAAGATTTCATTTGTTTTATTGCAAAGAATGCTCTGTTCAATTTATTGCAAACACTATTTATCTGCATATTCCAGTTCAGTCTTTGATCTAAGTGAGTTCCCAGAAATGTTACCTCATTGCTCAATTTGATGTCATCGATAACCTGTAGATCAGCCGGCATATTATTCTTTCTGTTGTAAAAGTTAACTATTACTGTCTTAGAGGAATTCAAAATCAATTTATTCCTTTGACACCACGAACTGAAATCATCAATAATGTTATTGACTCTTGCGATCAATTCTTCAATATCCCCACTAGTAACTGTAATCGTGGTGTCATCTGCAAACATTGTTATATGACAATTTGCAACATACTCTGACAATTCATTAGTATACAGTAAGAAAAGTAATGGCCCAAGCACTGATCCTTGGGGCACTCCGAGCTTAACGTCCTTGATACCTGAATTGATTCCATTGCATTTCACAATCATGGATCGTCCATCAAGATACGATTCCAACCACTTCATCAAATTGTTTGGGAAACCCAAACCAGATATCTTATTGGATAGCAAGCATTCAGAAGATACAGTATCAAATGCTTTCGACAAATCGAAGAATAATGACATTACGAATTTATTAGAATCAATTTCTCTGTAAATATGATTGAGTAGATAGTTGGTTGCAGTTTCAATTGATTTATTTTTCCTGAAACCATGTTGGTTCTCACACATCATTTGATTTTTTTCCAAATGATTAGCAATCCTAATCGAAACAATTTTTTCGTAGAGTTTAGACAAGGAGCAAAGTAGAGAGATTTGCCTATAATTATCAACTTCACAACGGTTTCCTTTCTTGAACAGCAGTATCACAAGCGCTCTTTTGAATTCTACTGGGAAATACCCTTGCAGAAAGGACTGATTGAATAAGTACGTGAGAGGTGTGATTATCACATCATGATTTGTTTTATTGTACGTATTGACAATCCATCCAGACCTGCCGATGCTTTATTTTTTAACAGAGTCAGAGTATTTAACACTTCATTTTCATTTATCGGATCAGACTGAAATGGAAACATGATATTGCTCCTGGTATGCCTACTTACTGTACAAGGTAGGGAAATATTCTCGCCAAAATGAGCATTCATGATTAAATCAGCATTATTTGAGAAATTGTGAGCAAATATTTCACTTATTTGATGCAAGTCTCTTATTTCCTCTGAATTATGATTGATATAACAATGTTCTTATCAGGCTCATTATTTCTTCCCAACTCATTATTTATGATATTCCAGGTTACCTTGGTTTTATTGCTCGCATTATTTATTTTTGTTTTGAAATAATCAATTTTAGTTTGTTTTATGTTGTGTTTATGTTTTCTCAACCTATCCTTGTATATGTTCATACTCTCAGCATCTATTTCTGGACATTTTGTTGTATCATGAAATATGTCTCTCAAACATTTACCTTCTTGTATAATATCATTAGAAATCCAAGGTTTAGAATTTTGCCTCACAGTAACATTTCGCATTGGACATGATACATCAAAACACCATGAGACTGATTCCAGGAAAAATGAAAAACTATCATTTATTCTAAGACTATTCAACTCTGGAAACCATCTGATGGAATTAAGTCTTTCTCTGAATTCGGAAATATTTCCTTGGCTAAGTTGACGCTTAGGTATCACTATTTTATTTGTTGCTTTTTTTAAATCTCTACTGTATACCTGAAAAGTTAGAATATGTGAAATGAAATTGAATGATGATGATTTGATTTATGTTATTCCTTCTGTTTCATTATTATGAAAAATTATATCATTTGAATTCGATTTGAATTGCAGTGTTCCTACTCGAAGATGGTGTAAAAAAATAGGCCAAATTTCAACTGATTATATGGATAAATGTTTCTTCAAAAACATAACGTTATTTCAACCATCCCGTACAGGCTGATTCGAATTGATTGTCCGCATTATGGTATCTCAGATAATATTCGCAATCAAGAAAAATAAACACACATACATCCCCGTTTTAATTTTTTTCGACAACATTCAAATGGCAACTATAGGTACCAATGAGGTTCATCGAGTTTAATTTCATTTCACCGTCAGAACAGACTTCTAAAGCTTCTGTCCAATCTGACAAACAGTATGCTATAAACCAAAACAAATGACAAAATTTGATTATTTCGGAAATCTACCTCAACAATTGTCTAAAAAAAATGATGTGTATTCGTTGTTTCGTCATTGCGCAGATATCAACATAGAAATCTTTTATCCTACGATTACAATACCAATTTGAATCACTCAATACAGCATCGAATCGAAAGTCAGAACTCTCACCTATAATCCACTCAATTGTAGACACACGACAACGACCTACTACACACACTGAAATCTGACAAAGATGAAAAAAATCCTAAAGTCAAAAAGATCTCGATTTTGAACACCCTAAATCTCTGTAATCATTCCCGCTAGACACCAAGTGTGATACATTGATGAAAGCAGCTCTTCAGGGAGAATCTGAAAATGCAATGTTATACAGTGTACTCCATTTGAAAATTGAGAGTTGATGATGCTCGTTACACTTCAAGATTTCAACTTTGGAATAAAATATGATGATTCCAGATAAATGTGTCCTCCGCCAAATTGAAATCGACTTATCCGAGCGATATTCAATTTTATCAACGACATTGAAGATTAGTGGGGTAACAAGTTTTATCTGGGACACACTGTATAAGTCGCTTCACTTTTATATCTCCCACTTCCAATTGTTATTTAAAAAATAATGAAAAACAAAAAGTACGTACTTTAGTTAATGTTGAGTAAGTTTCCATAGCGTGACCATTTTTTACCAATGTTATTTCTGTTACATTTGTATGATGAGTTGTCAACGAATAAATTTACGAAAAAAACAAATTCTAGATTGCAGTATATAATTTTAATCAGACATTTATTAAGATCATGAAAATATGAGATAACATATATTATGTTCATCTTCGCAACAGAAAACAAACAAATAATAATGAGAGAGAAACATTTCGCCTCATTCATTAAAGCAATTAAATACTAACTCTGGTATTTGAAAAATGAGCAATTGCGTTTTACACATATAAAATATAAATAAATATTATTTAATTTCCTGCTTCCGTATCAGACGTGGTCTACAGCTTTCATATTTTCTCACTAAACTGTATTCTGTCATTGTATTCGTTTGGGCATGGGGATCATTGGAAGTGTCTTGTGGTGTTTTTTAATCATCAACTATTACTCCCATTCGAATGTTAATGGATTAACTATCGGTGAGTAATTATTCTGTATGTGAATTTGAAATGATTTTCAATCATACTGAAGGGATAAAATTCAGCTACTTTAACGATGCAATGTGGATGTGTAACACATCAGGAACACCTCCTGATATCTTGCAATCGATTTGGTAATTTTTGATAATCGTAGGACATGACAATATTCAGTTCAATTCCTAATTGTTTGGAGGATATGTTATGTTCATACGTACTCATTCTCATTTGACTCATTAATCGTTAATCTATGTTCCATCGAATCATTTCCACATGCATTGCCTTATGAAATCTTATTCTGCTTATAGGTATACTATTTGGTGACTATCCAGCTCAAGAACAACTCTTGATCAATAATTCGATTTCTTCAAAGTATGAAAATGGCGAAATTATATTTTCTAGCAACATTCGGAGTATTTCTGGAATCGATAGCTATACTGCAAGTGAAACAAGTAAGTTGATTTGGGACATTCAATGAACTTTCTCTTTCGAATAATGTAAAATGAAGGAGTAGTGTAACTTCACTTAGCTTGTTTGTATGTTTCTGAAGTACCTACTTCACATCAAAATAAAACATGCGAAGTATTCAAAGTATTGTTATCAATCGTAGAAGTGAAGAATATTACATTGAGTACAATAATACAACTACCTAGGTATATCCATCATTATTGATCATTAAGGATGCTAAAGGGCAAGTTGCGGCAGTCATAAAAAATGTTTGATTTTCTTAATACTTCTTGGGGTTGAGTGAATAAAAACATTGCGTTTTTCATCATTTTTTCGGAGAGTAATGGGACAAAGAAAAAAAAAATTAGGTCCTAGCACCCTATTATAATGACTTGAGTAGAAAATAATTTGAGGAAAATAAGGCGAAGGCCTTAATTTTCTTTGTCTAATCTTATTCACCCAGCCCACCACTTTGGGGTAAAATGAACCAGGCATTGAAAACGCATGAGAAGTCATTTCAAAATACTCAGAGGTAAACTAAATGAAAAAGAATTCTTTTATATATTTTTCTTCCCGCTGTGATTATTTATTTATAATACACTTCATTCTCGGCATGCTAAGACTGAATCGAAACATTAGAAATTGATGATAAATTCATATCGTACTGCAAAAGATATAACATAAAAAATATCCAATAACAAAATATCAACCCTATTTTCATAGGAATTCGAAAGATTCATTGCACCCATTATAGTGACTATTTCAAAGTGAACAAAATGTAACAAGAAAGCTGTCAAAAGAAATTCTAAATTCAATATTCATCAATTTCATTTGATCCTCAACGTTTCTGGAAAACACCAAACAACATATCCCACTAAATTTGATACATAACAAGAATTGTTTACAGATATAAGTTTCGTGATATTGTTGAAATAACATTGCGATAATGTTCTTCTGAAGTATCCAACATAATATTATGAATTAAAACGTTTTTGAAACGTTGTATCAATATTGAAATCAATATTATTAGATAATATTGTAATAATTATGTTGATTTAATGTTGTCCAGATACATCACAGACATAGTTGTTATGACTGGATTCATGAAGCAGAATAACTAAAAAGATACTTATATAGGAGGTTAATAGTAGTTGATATGTCCCTAAATATCACTGTGTAACTGAATCAAACTTATAGTCTTTCAGCAGTACGGCAAGATCAATTCATTAACACAGTTAGGTATATTCAGGAATAGATCATCTTCTCTGTCTTTCCTGAAGATCATTCAGATGATTCTCTTGATGATTTCAGAAAGAATAGACATAACTAAAAAACACCTAGAAAATAATCAAAATATTCATATACAATATTGTGCAGGTACAGGTACAGGTAACCTTCAATATACGATATGAAGTAACATTGATTTTATGTAATTCTTAATATAATCATCGTTTTGAAAACATAGAACATTTAGATTTTTTTTATTTCTCCATTATTTTTTTCTATTGAGATGTTAGGTAGAATTATTATGTCATAATATCCAGATACCTGAAAATTTTCCACTTCATTTTCCAGTGTGTCAAATGATAAGTGATGGTAGTGGAGTGGCAGCAGTGTTTGGACCTAAACATTCCATTTCAACCACGATTCTGGAAGCAATATCTTCAGAATTCCAAGTCCCTTACATCTTGACATCTTGGAAACCTCCATCCGCCATAGAGTCAGAATACACTCTGAACTTTTTTCCTGATGCGTCTCTGTTTGCACGTGGCATATCTGATATTGTGAAAAGTTTTGGTTGGAAGAGCTTCGTTGTCTTGTATGAAGATGATATAATTCTAGAAAAACTACAGCACATTTTCGTTCTTCAAAAATATAACAAGAATGATAGAAGAAATCGGATCATTCTCGAAAAGTTGGGACCTGGATCAGATTATAGGTAAAAAAAAACATCTTTTTCTTGTAGCTGCCATTTAGTAATATCCGAGTAGAATATGGTAGGAGTGTCTACCTGATTTGACAATGAGGAATACAATGATTAACCATATTGTCAAGCGTTAGACATTTAAAATTTCTTATTGTGATATGCATGAAATTGACGCGAGAGTTGACTGCTTTGATTGCCGCCTGGCTATCTGAATAGATTGCAATGGTTTTGCATTTAAACTCTTGCCTTATCAATTCTTTCACGCAATGATGTCGTATTGCAATAATTTCTGCCTGAAACACCGTCGCGTATTTGCCTAAGCTCAGTGAGATTCTTGTCTTTGGCTTGGCCCCATAAATACCAGCTCCTGATCCTTCCTCAGTTTTGGAGCCGTCCGTATAGACAGCAATGTCTGCAGTGATAGGAGGTCCTTCCTTCCATGCCTCTCTGTCCGTTATACTTATTTTAAAAGTATTTTCAAAGCTATATTTTGGAATTATGCCATCCGTTGGCATCCCCATGATGGGGTCGCTTTCCAACTCTTCATATAGCTTCCTATACTCTTTACCGTGCGCGTTGCTTATGGGTGCTTGACCCCTTGACAATCTACTCACGACTGCTCTGGCTTCGCCTTGAATATATATTTGTAGTGGTGGTAGGTTCAAGAGGACCTCTAAAGCGGCTGTTGGAGTGGTTTTCATTGCACCAGTGGCACTCAGGCACGCTTACCTTCGAATCACTCCAGCCTCCATTTTATTATAGGTTTGTACGTTTCTCATGCGAGTTTCTTGAACATTATTCGAGGTTCGAACGTGATTCGAACTCACTGTTGTAGTGTTCCATTGATATAATTATCTTTTTCGACTAGTGACACTACTATTGAAAGTATTGACATCTCAGTATGGACGTTTCGCAGAGGCACCATTATGATTTTCAAGCAGTCGGATGTGAAGTTCACAAAAACTCATTTTTCTTCTGACTAACGTTCATTAGGAAGCCGAGTAGACTCCTACATTGAGATTTCACCAAAATTGAGCTTTTTGAGTGAGCAAACTTCCATATATTCAATTCAACAGTGGGGAGGTTTTTAGGTTGGCAACTTGGAGCGAAGGTTTCCATTGGATGTGTCATAAAGCTGGTATTTTTTTAAGATTATCAACTCTGGAACTTCAACACTTCAGGAAAGGTTGGGCCAACTCTTCCTTTTCCAAATTCAACAAGAGGTCGAGTTATACCTCTTTTTGAAAGGCATCAAATTATCTTCCGAATGACATGTCATTTCCTGAAATTCGAACAGATAGTTTCAGAGGAAATTTTTTAATTGCGTGATGATGTTTTGTAACCTGTTCATTTGAATATCAATAATACTAATTATCAGATTTAATACAAGACTCGCGTAATTATTTACGCATTATATTGTGCCACCGACTTCCATGCAAAGATAAACTTGCATAAAAGTTTCTGAAAAGTTCCATCAATTATCACTGATTGCAGATAATTATACTCTTGGTTGTCTCAACCTTCTGTTACTAATGTGCGGACTGTGAGTCTGTGCCGCCAAAAATTAACCGGTATTCAACGAACTATCCCGAGTAGGCGGATGTACGGCTAAGTAGCTGTTGTTGGTGAGGTTTCGAAGTTATTGTTAAGAGGTTAACAGAGCAGGTTGCTGCGTATTCGAGTGAAGCTCTTTTGCGGACTCTCACTCCGCATGTTTGAGATAGTTCAGCTCTAATTTTGAGAATAAAACTCATTCCAATTAACTTTGGATCCTATTTTGGAAACTGCTGTGATCAAACTCCACGAATGGGATGTATGAATGACCTTCAAAAAGAGGTATCAGTCGAGTCCGAGTTCCATTCAAAGTAGTGATGATCCCACCTTTCCTATTGGGTTGGGGTTGCATTGACAAAATTGAGAACAAGATATCTTCCTCTTGACAATTCTAATGACTCATATATGCAATTCTCTACAAATTGACTGAAAATTAGATATTGAGTCTGTTTTGTTTCGAATGTCAGATCAAGAACTGTCTATTGGTGAATTATCGAAAATAAGAGCTTCAACAACATCTTGGACACTTCGTAAAACGAAATGATTCAATGACACTAACAAAGACAAGTTATTCGGCAAATTTAACTCAATTCGACATCAATCGCTGCCGAAATGTTTAACTCTATCCAAAAGTGGAATATGTTCGATTGAATAACAAATGGAAGCAGCTATACCTACCATACGATTTTGAACATTCAACTATGAGAAACTAAGGGATCTAGAAGCTTCACTTCTCGTAACAGTCGTAACATTGATAATATCATTCCAAAATTAGAGAGAATGCCTAACTCGTGATCAAATGATTATTTCAATTCTGATCGCATATGAAAATGTATCTCTGGTTTCAGGAGAATATTAGAAAAAATCCAAACATCTTCACAAACCAACGTCATTTTAGATTGCAGAATGGAAAATATAATAGCAATCCTTCATCAAGCAAAAAGTGTCAACATGCTGAATGCGTTCAACAACTATTTCATAACAAATTTGGTAACTACTATCATCAGGATGAAAATGATAATTAGCTGTGTATTTGATTATACTTTCAGGATGCATATACTTTAGACTATTCAGAGTTGAATACTACGGCCAATATAACTACCATCAAGCTCATAGATGACAATAATTATGAATTTCTTGAAGATTCGATGATGAAAATGGGCTTGGGAGAACTCATTCATCACAAAAAATTCAAGGTTCGTTCTTGAAGAATATTGATATTTGATCCATTTGATCATTATTCTATTACATCAGAGATGTATTCAATGCTTTATCAAACTTTCAGACAGATATAATGCTGTTTTATGATGCTTTTTGGTTCATGAATGAGACACTGAACGAACTAGGACCTGCAATTATGACTAATCCTGTTTTCTGTAACAGGAAAGAGTCATCAGTTAGTGGAAAAAAATTGATTGAGTATATGCACAAGGTGAGTTGATAGAGTGATTCTCAAGATATTGTCAAATAATAAAACTGGCGAATACTATATATAACGTTCTCATAGATAAGTATGAAGCGAAATTCAAAATAAAGGATTCTTCAATAGGAGAGATAGTTTTTCAAATAGAGATTTGACTGTTTCTAATATACATATATATATATCCTATTCTCAGGTGTTCCTATATGTTTTATAAAATTTATAGTGTGCAGTTTTATGATGCAGCCATCTCGATCGGTTGGAAGTAATGAAAAAATATTACCAAAGTGATAGCTCTGTTGCGAGGATTCAACTTTTATTCAACTTGAACTTCACCCACAAATGAGCTACCACTTAAGTAACAATTTTATTACTTCCTACCGATCAATTTCAAGAGTCATTCTTGAAAATAGAATTGACCTGTCTTTTAAATTTTCCATGATTTTCACTGGAAGGAAGATATTGAGGGTGGAAAGTTCTCAAAATGTCACCCTGAATATAGTAACTCCTAGAAATGGAGAATGAATTCATTCGAAAATCTCATATCAAAAGACCTTTCATCTAGATGAGTTGAATTTTCAATGATGAATAAATGATTATTCAACTATCAGGTCACAGAAAATGCACAAATTCTGTTGAATGGATAGGTCATAATGATTTTATGATTTTTCAAATTGAAGCCAAGGTAGTAAATCGTCAAATTATAATGGTAAAGATAAGATATGATCAGACTATAAGTTATTTCAGTAATTATTCTCTTCGTATGAGTTTGTACCAATCAAAACTTGCAAATTAATGAAGCTACCTTTTATAAGGTTGAATATACATGGATATGCATAGAGTGGCTCCACCAATCAGGAATTCAGAATTATTTCCATCTCCAGCATAGTAACTAATTCATATCGTTACATACAAACAAAGCGCTTCGTCAAATTTTGAAGTTCGTCTAACTACGCAAGAAATAGTCGCATCGAATACAATTCGAACTGAGAAATTTTCAAGGACATTCATCTCAAACTTCCTGCACAATAATAACAAATCGTGTCAGTTTAACAAATTGATCCTCCCGCTTTGCGGTCGCATTATTTCAACTGTAAAACTGACACTCTCTGTAATAATATCAAGTCATCGATGTATCACCTGAGTATCTTGAAGTACTCATAGTATTACTACTGATTATATAGTTACAAACACATTGCTTCAATACAATGCATATACAAATCTATTGAGACTGTGTGAAATTGAACTATTCAGGAGTTGAGTATTAATAAACGTTACAATTTCAGTCGACTCCATACAATTCTCAACCTACAGCTGCTTTGAAACGACTCACTAATGGTCAACTATGAGAAATATTGATTATTCGTATTTTTGTCCCACTGACGGCACAAGTCTATGATCATTTATTTACATTATTCCAGAGAGTATCTACTTCTCACACCCTAACTGGTCCAATCTCGTTTGATCATCATGGGAATCGAATATCCTTCAACTTATTTGTAGTGGATGTATTACATGAGACTAATATAGCCACCTGGTCTTCTCATAATTCCACGTTACAAGTAAACAGACATTTTGATGAGAAGCTGACAGCTGTATCGAACCTACAAGGAACAAAAGTTATAGTCTCCTCGAGGTATTTGTGCATTATATTATTTTTTCAATGGATTATATTATACATTCGCCTCTCCACAGACTTGGTGCACCCTATCTCATGCTGAGACAAAATGAGGATGACGACATATCAACGGGAAATGCTAGATTCGAAGGCTATACTTTGGATCTCGTAGCTGGTATCGCCAAAATAGTAGGTTTCGAATTCGAGGTCCGGCTTACTGAAGATCAAAAATATGGAAGCTGGGATGAAAATAACGGAAAATGGAATGGTATCATCGGTGATATTTTGAATAAGGTGACCAAATAATAATTTTTGAAGAAATATGGGTTCAATTCAAGAAGAGGCTGTGAAAACTTGAGTTGAATATTTGAATACAGAGAACATGCATGCTCAAATTACCACGCCATTTTGGGATACCAAGAAACTTGTAGCGTTTGAATTGAGAGGAGGTTGTATCAATGAAACTTTCTTCCATGAGTCCATAGACATTAGAAATATGTGTCCCATTGATATTGAGAAGTTTGAATTTGTTTACTGTTATCACGAAAGTTATTCAGTTCAGAGAATACACTCAGACATCTGCATGTTTCCATATGGGGAGCAAAAATGCAAAAACCGATAAATTCACTTCCAGTGATTTCGAGAGGATTGATGATAACCTCCCAGGCAAGATTCTAATATTACTCGAGTGTTATTTCAACTTTATTCAGTTTGCTCGTTGGGATCGCAATATTAGTCATTAAAAAAAAAATGAATTGGATTTATCGGTTTTTGCTCGAAATAATGTTTCTTCTCTCTCTCAGGAATGCCCTCTTATCGTTCTTTGGACAACCATACTACATGAAATAACACAGTTCAATGTCATGCTCAGTTTTTATATTCTTCTAGAATACATATTTTATTCCTGATCCCAAGGATATCGTGAACCAGAATCCTTACACAGCAATACGTAGGCTTCCTATGATTGCAAATCCTCCTGAACTGATTCAAATCAGGACCATCATCATCTGTAATAACAACTGAAAAATGAATACTTCCTAATTTCATCATTCTTCATATTGATAACCTGTGTCTAGTCATCGTATTGACCACAAACGGAATAATATGATACCTACCGAGTCAACGACTGACAGAAATACGACTGAATTTCTTCTATTCCAAGATTCATGAACGTGTGAACCTCGCATTCTAGTCAGAGTCATCTCGAGTTCGTTATAACAAATTTATTGAACCAAATTTCTTAAACTGAAATGAATAATCACAACAAAGTCATGTATTTATCAGGAAATTTTAATGAATAGCTTGAAGTTCTATCTATAATATTCGAAGTTTTTATCGGTATTTTGTCGAAATTTGGATTGATCGGCGAGAGCGCACCAAAATCAGTAAAAATCGATACTTTGCGGTAAAAATGTTGAATTACAAGTACTTACTGAAATTTTCATGGATAACTTGGAGCGATGAAAGAATTTTTGTATTGGTATAGATACGTGGATGACGTTATAGTATGCTTTAAAGGAACCAATAGACATTAATTTATTGAACACTTTTCACCAATATATTATTACTATTCATCCAAACATAAAATTCACAATGTAAATAAAAACACAAAAGTCGATCAATTTCTTAGATTTAACAATAAGTTTATTGATAAACATGATTTTTCAATTTTCCATGAACCTACCCACACTGATAATAATATATAATACACAGGCTATAGTGAATGTCCGTCTCTCAGAAGAAAATTTCAATAAAGAACTCAAAATCATAATACAGATTGCAGTCAACAACGGATACAACGTTAATTTGATAGACAGTATTCTTTTTTTTTACACCATAATGAAGCTATTCAAGAACTTTATCCTACCATCGAAACTTTATGGAAATCTCACCGTTTGTTTTTACTGCAAAGCGATTTTCTTATTCTCAACTCAGCCACACTTCTGTATTTTTTCAGAAGGCACATTTGGGAGTTGCTGATCTGACCATAACACATGAACGAAGAGAAGTTGTTGATTTTAGTCTGCCATTCATGAGTCTAGGTAGGTGCTGAATAATTTGATCACAGAAAACATTAGCTGTCTTTCAATTCTGATTGGTCTACCAGCATTGATGTTTCCAAATATGTTACCATGGATAGCGAAGCAAAGTCTGTAAAATAATGATGGCTGTATTTGTCAGAATAAATCGCTCATTTGAAATGAATTCATTTTATGGTTCCAGACCGTGACTAGTCTTGCAAAATACCACTCGGTTCTGAATATATCCTTAAAATCATGCCTTTCATTGTTAACTCAATTGTGTTTCCGTACAGCAATACCACTCCTCCTGAAGCACTCGTGCATGGTGTTGGTCGGCAACACGATTTGGTGAACAATGGAGCCACAGAATCATCTTGAATATTCAGAACATGGTGATATTACTTATGACTATTTCACTCATCGCATAATCTCACCAATCACAAGACAGAAACGACTCGTACTTATCGCGAAAACACTAGCTGTTTTTTAATTCTGAGTAGGTACTCAATCAGCGTTGACGTCATCAAAGATGTAACGATAAAATAGTTACTTGTCAGATTGAATCACTAAGTTTTGATTAATGGCTGTTATACTTGTGAAATGGTCTAGCAAAACACCACTATATTCTGAATATCTCCTCATTATTCTGTCTTTCATTGTTAACTCAATCGTGTTGCCGTACACAACATGGAGATACTACTCATGAAAACTGACGAATAACGCTATATTTTCTACTCAAGTTTGGTCAATTCTCTACTTGCGCTAGCTCCTCACCGGTTACTCCTATACATTCATCAGCGAGAAGAAATATAATTTCATTCAAAATTCTATGTACTTACTTCAACTTTCTATAGAGTAATTTTGTCGATAAAATATATAGTTTCTGAGTTACGGGCAAAAAAGTGAAGAAAAGTTAGAAAATTGCTGTTCTTTGCGAATATGTCGGAACGCTCTAAGAAATTTTGTATGCAAACTTCAGATTCGGATTCAGCACCCTCGAGAACATATCAAACCATAGAGAAACTGCACAATAGATCAATCACTATAACCAATATTCAGTGGGTTCTTGAATTACTTATTTTACTTTGGTTTTATTGGATAATTGATATATTATTATCTACTTTACAGGAATTGGGATATTGTATAAGAAACAACCTCGAGGAAATTCACGAATGTTTGAGTTCATGAGCCCCTTTTCAGATTCTGTATGGACTTACACAGGATATTTAATCATTTTCATGAGTATCTCCCTTTATTTTGTGATGAGGTAAGACTATCGGAAAATGTATTCATTCAATTGATCTGGAAATGAGGTATAAAATCTTATTCACGAAATTGAATCCTTTTTCGAGGTTATCATCCAGAGACTGGAGAAGTTCACAGTTGGCTGACAAGGAAGAGGTAATCGTCGAAAACCTTTGGAATATAAAGAACTGTATATGGATGATCTTTGGATCATTGACTGGCCAAGGCTGTGAAATATTCCCAAAGTGAGTATCTAGCTACATTATTGAATGAGCAGAGGATGCAAGAGATCTTGTTATACGACGCTATACATAGTGGAGTATACTACGGCCGTGCCAAAAATGCTATCTCGGAAACTAAGCGAGATAGAGGTATAGTTGCTTTGGAGAAAATGATCCCCATCGAATTTTGAGCAACTTTGGTTTTTGTGTGTGGTCTGTCTGTCTGTCTGTCTGTACTCTGTGTTAATCATAAATCGATATATCTCCGGAACCCTTTGACATATCGACTTGAAATTTTGCCATCTTATTGTACTCAAAACAATATTATGTCATTAAAATATGAAGGAAATCGGAAAACTCTAAGGTGGTTTTTCCGGGTTTTTTCGATTTTTCACCGGAAGTTCCTTGTAACCACTCTACAAATCGCAAAAGTGGTCCGATCGATTTCATTTTTTGTGAAAAAAACCTCTATCAGGAAGAGACGAAGCCTATTGAAATTGAGCAGGGTCGGAAAATTCCAAGTGGGTTTTTCAAGGAGATTTTCCGAAAAACACGGTTCGCTTTAAAACGACATATCTCGTGAACAAATAGACTAAATCCAAATTTGAGAAATGCACCGTATGCCTCTTTGATGACGCAACAAATTATCATTCAATCATTTTTTCGTGCATCCATCGGAAACTGGAAAAACAAATGAAAACCCAAACATCAAAATTTGAAATCCTTTTAATTCAATATATATCGAAAACAAATGGAAAAATCGAAAATTATCAGGAGTGCAAAGTTATCCACTGGAACATTTTCTACAAATTATTTTTCTTAATTTTTTCTGTAAACCCAATAGTACAGGAAATAAAGTGAAAAATATGAAAAAAAAAATGTTAACGACGCTTAGGGTACTATGAAGATATATTGAAAAACAAAGATTATCGATAGATGAAGCTCATCGACTTCCACTGAACCATGAAATATTTTTTCATTTTGTTGATTGGAAGATGGAACAAAAGTGTTGAAAATTTTATTCTCAGATAATTCCAAATATCTCGAAAACAACTGAAAATATCTGAAAATGTTATTGAACCAAAATTATTCCTTTTGATAGAATGTACAAAAAATCCAAATAACATTTTTCTCTGAATTCAATAGTTCGGGAGATACGATGAAAAAACTAAAAATATTTACAAGTTCCTAGATAATCACTCGCCAATAGAAAACAAAACAAAAAACAAAAGAAAGTGAAAAAAGCTCACTCGACTGTCTTGATTTTTTTCTCATAAACTACGTACCTAGCTCACTCGACTGTCTGGAAAAACCAAGACAGTCGAGTGGGCTAAGTACGTAGTTTGTGGGAAAAATATCCAGTTCTCTGAACTTTCATAGCGTCGTATACACATCTTTGGTGCCCAATGATAGTTTCAATATAAAAATATGCTCATGATATGGTGCCATGGCCTCTACTTCCATCTTACATGAGCAATGATAAAATATCATCTGCTTTTATAGCGTCGTATAAATTATCTGACCTCTATACTAATCTAATACCTAATGAAAACTACATCTATACTAATCTGATACCTTTCAAAAACTACGTATCTCACTTGTTATACGACGCTATACATAGTGGAGTATACTACGGCCGTGCCAAAAATGCTATCTCGGAAACTAAGCGAGATAGAGGTATAGTTGCTTTGGAGAAAATGATCCCCATCGAATTTTGAGCAACTTTGGTTTTTGTGTGTGGTCTGTCTGTCTGTCTGTCTGTACTCTGTGTTAATCATAAATCGATATATCTCCGAAACCCTTTGACATATCGACTTGAAATTTTGCCATCTTATTGTACTCAAAACAATATTATGTCATTAAAATATGAAGGAAATCGGAAAACTCTAAGGTGGTTTTTCCGGGTTTTTTCGATTTTTCACCGGAAGTTCCTTGTAAGCACTCTACAAATCGCAAAAGTGGTCCGATCGATTTCATTTTTTGTGAAAAAAACCTCTATCAGGAAGAGACGAAGCCTATTGAAATTGAGCAGGGTCGGAAAATTCCAAGTGGGTTTTTCAAGGAGATTTTCCGAAAAACACGGTTCGCTTTAAAACGACATATCTCGTGAACAAATAGACTAAATCCAAATTTGAGAAATGCACCGTATGCCTCTTTGATGACGCAACAAATTATCATTCAATCATTTTTTCGTGCATCCATCGGAAACTGGAAAAACAAATGAAAACCCAAACATCAAAATTTGAAATCCTTTTAATTCAATATATATCGAAAACAAATGGAAAAATCGAAAATTATCAAGAGTGCAATGTTATCCACTGGAACATTCCCTACAAATCATTTTCCATAATTTTTTCTGTAAACCCAATAGTACAGGAAATAAAGTGAAAAATATGAAAAAAAAAATTTTAACGACCCATAGGGTACTATGAAGATATATTGAAAAACATAGATTATCGATAGATGAAGCTCATCTACCTCCACTGAGGCATGGAATATTTTTTCATTTTGTTGATTGGAAGATGGAACAAAAGTGTTGAAAATTTTATTCTCAGATAATTCCAAATATCTCGAAAACAACTGAAAATATCTGGAAATGTTATAGAACCAAAATTATTCCTTTTGATAAAATCCACAAAAAATCCTCATAACATTTTTTTCTGAATTTAATAGTTCGGGAGATACGATGAAAAAACTAAAAAATTTACAAGTTCCTAGATAATCACTTGCCAATAGAAAACAAAACAATTGATTTTTTTCTCATAAACTACGTACCTAGCTCACTCGACTGTCTGAAAAAACCAAGACAGTCGAGTGGGCTAAGTACGTAGTTTGTGGGAAAATTCTCCAGTTCTCTGAACTTTCATAGCGTCGTATACACATCATTGGTGCTCAATGATAGTTTCAATATAAAAATATGTTCATGATATGGTGCCATGGCCTCTACTTCCATCTTACATGAGCAATGATAAAATATCATCTGCTTTTATAACGTCGTATGAATTATCTGACCTTTATACTAATTGATACCTTTCAAAAAGTACGTACCCACTTGTTATACGACGCTATACATAGTGGAGTATACTACGGCCGTGCCAAAAATGCTATCTCGGAAACTAAGCGAGATAGAGGTATAGTTGCTTTGGAGAAAATGATCCCCATCGAATTTTGAGCAACTTTGGTTTTTGTGTGTGGTCTGTCTGTCTGTCTGTCTGTACTCTGTGTTAATCATAAATCGATATATCTCCGGAACCCTTTGACCTATCGACTTGAAATTTTGCCATCTTATTGTACTCAAAACAATATTATGTCATTAAAATATGAAGGAAATCGGAAAACTCTAAGGTGGTTTTTCCGGGTTTTTTCGATTTTTCACCGGAAGTTCCTTGTAACCACTCTACAAATCGCAAAAGTGGTCCGATCGATTTCATTTTTTGTGAAAAAAACCTCTATCAGGAAGAGACGAAGCCTATTGAAATTGAGCAGGGTCGAAAAATTCCAAGTGGGTTTTTCAAGGAGATTTTCCGAAAAACACGGTTCGCTTTAAAACGACATATCTCGTGAACAAATAGACTAAATCCAAATTTGAGAAATGCACCGTATGCCTCTTTGATGACGCAACAAATTATCATTCAATCATTTTTTCGTGCATCCATCGGAAACTGGAAAAACAAATGAAAACCCAAACATCAAAATTTGAAATCCTTTTAATTCAATATATATCGAAAACAAATGGAAAAATCGAAAATTATCAAGAGTGCAATGTTATCCACTGGAACATTCCCTACAAATCATTTTCCATAATTTTTTCTGTAAACCCAATAGTACAGGAAATAAAGTGAAAAATATGAAAAAAAAAATTTTAACGACCCATAGGGTACTATGAAGATATATTGAAAAACATAGATTATCGATAGATGAAGCTCATCTACCTCCACTGAGGCATGGAATATTTTTTCATTTTGTTGATTGGAAGATGGAACAAAAGTGTTGAAAATTTTATTCTCAGATAATTCCAAATATCTCGAAAACAACTGAAAATATCTGAAAATGTTATAGAACCAAAATTATTCCTTTTGATAGAATCTACAAAAAATCCCCATAACATTTTTCTCTGAATTCAATAGTTCGGGAGATACGATGAAAAAACTAAAAAATTTACAAGTTCCTAGATAATCACTTGCCAATAGAAAACGAAACAAAAAACAAAAGAAAGTAAAAAAAGCACACTCGACTGTCTTTATTTTTGCCAATAAACTAGGTACGGGCTAAGTACGTAGTTTGTACGAAAAATCTCCAGTTCTCTAAACATTCATAGCGTCGTATACACATCATTAGTGCCCAATGATAGTTTCAATATAAAAATATGCTCATGATATGGTACCATGGCCTCAACTTCCATCTTATATGAGCAATGATAAAATATCATCTGCTTTTATAACGTCGTATGAATTATCTGACCTTTATACTAATTGATACCTTTCAAAAAGTACGTACCCACTTGTTATACGACGCTATACATAGTGGAGTATACTACGGCCGTGCCAAAAATGCTATCTCGGAAACTAAGCGAGATAGAGGTATAGTTGCTTTGGAGAAAATGATCCCTATCGAATTTTGAGCAACTTTGGTTTTTGTGTGTGGTCTGTCTGTCTGTCTGTCTGTACTCTGTGTTAATCATAAATCGATATATCTCCGGAACCCTTTGACATATCGACTTGAAATTTTGCCATCTTATTGTACTCAAAACAATATTATGTCATTAAAATATGAAGGAAATCGGAAAACTCTAAGGTGGTTTTTCCGGGTTTTTTCGATTTTTCACCGGAAGTTCCTTGTAACCACTCTACAAATCGCAAAAGTGGTCCGATCGATTTCATTTTTTGTGAAAAAAACCTCTATCAGCAAGAGACGAAGCCTATTGAAATTGAGCGGGGTCGGGAAATTCCAAGTGGGTTTTTCAAGGAGATTTTCCGAAAAACACGGTTCACTTCAAAACGACATATCTCCTGAACCAATAGACT